AACCGCATTACTGCATGTTTTTTCTCTAATGTTTCCATATTAGCGAACAAGCCGTCTGGGACTCGTTTCATAAATATTGAAGTGCCTTGCTCCGACGTAACCTCCTGCTCTTCATTATGCTCGATGTTTTATTCATAAATCCCATTTCCAAATTTGTCTTTCCCAAGCCCTGAAAGATGAATGTGGTTTTGTTGTTTTGTTTTTTTTCCGTCAGCATCCTTCATCTCCCCCTTTTGCAGTTTATTATTTATTCATGAGATGTTGTTTGGTTATTCATGAGACCAGAAATGCCTCACAACCATAAATGCTTTCGGTGTCAGAGACTGGATCTGAAACGACGGTCCAGCTGAACTCCTCAAACATGTGCATTCTTCACCAGCTCACTGATTAAAGCAATAGTTCATATTAGTATTTATATCGTATCTGTAAGCACTTCATATTCTCAGAGCTCATAAGGATGCAGATTTGAACTCTTGTCCTCGCTTTCTGTCGTTCATGTCATGCATTTTGAATGTTCTTTATCAATATCACTCGGGCTGGATTGAAAATATTGATTTCTTGATTTTAATCGATTCTCATTTGATGAGCCGATATTGATTCTTAAATCACAGGAATCAATCTTTCAGTCTGCGCTGTCAATAATCACATTCATATTTGTGCTTAATACTTATGATATGAAACAAAGTCTCAGCTTTCAAATTATGTCCATTTTATAATGTGTGTGTGTGTGTGTGTGTGTGTGTGTGTGTGTGTGTGTGTGTGTGTGTGTGTGTGTGTGTGTGTGTGACGGATGAACCGATCTCTGCCTCTTCACTACTAGTTACAGCAGCAAATAAACATGATGAACATCAGAAGGAATGATGACGATATTGAAATCATGTCTCGTGTAATCCATCAATCAGTGTTTCAACCGTCAATAAAACAGCGCGAGAACAATAATGTCACGTAATTTACCTCAGGAAAGATATTCAATGACCATAAACTCGATAGTTGCTAGAAAAATAACTAGAGAGGAGCGTTTTGATAAATATATGCACTAGAATATATAATCAGTATATTTTTACTGAACCTGTTCTTCAATATTTAATTTAAGTTATGAATACAATAAGTTTTATCACAGCCATCATTTTTCAAAACCAAATTGGAGTAAATAATTATGTCATTAAAAAGTTATTATAACTTTATTATTATAAAAACTGCCTTATGTGTAATTTAAATCTTTGTGTACAAATCAGTTGCTCATGTTAACCCTTAATATTACAGTAAAAAATGATTATTGGTTAAAATTTAAGGTAGTAATCTAGTTGCCTTTAAATATTGAGCTCATTGAAATACAAAGAAAGATATAATCGAGAGAAATTCTAAATATGATGTTAACTGAAGAACATTGGTGAATCTAAGCTGATTTGATAAAAGAAAAAAGTTGTGATAGATCATGATTTTTCTGACACTGATAATGTAGCGACCGACAGGATTCCTGTATGTTTTACAGCATTAGATGAAGAGTATTTTATTCCCTGAGAAGAACTGACACAAACTGGACCTGTTATACACCCAGACCAATAATGATGAATAGAGCTGAATAGAGCTGCATAGAGCTGCATAGAGCTGAGTAGAGCTGAATAGAGCTGAGTAGAGCTGCATAGAGCTGCATAGAGCTGAATAGAGCTGAATAGAGCTGAATAGAGCTGCATAGAGCTGCATAGAGCTGCATAGAGCTGAATAGAGCTGAATAGAGCTGAATAGAGCTGAGTAGAGCTGAATAGAGCTGAATAGAGTTGCATAGAGCTGCATAGAGCTGAGTAGAGCTGAGTAGAGCTGAGTAGAGCTGAATAGAGCTGCATAGAGCTGCATAGAGCTGCATAGAGCTGCATAGAGCTGAATAGAGCTGAATAGAGCTGAATAGAGCTGAATAGAGCTGAGTAGAGCTGAATAGAGCTGAATAGAGTTGCATAGAGCTGAGTAGAGCTGAGTAGAGCTGAATAGAGCTGCATAGAGCTGCATAGAGCTGATAGAGCTGAATAGAGCTGCATAGAGCTGCATAGAGCTGAATAGAGCTGAATAGAGCTGCATAGAGCTGAATAGAGCTGCATAGAGCTGAATAGAGCTGAATAGAGCTGCATAGAGCTGCATAGAGCTGAATAGAGCTGAATAGAGCTGCATAGAGCTGCATAGAGCTGAATAGAGCTGAATAGAGCTGAATAGAGCTGCATAGAGCTGAATAGAGCTGCATAGAGCTGCATAGAGCTGCATAGAGCTGAATAGAGCTGCATAGAGCTGAATAGAGCTGAATAGAGCTGCATAGAGCTGCATAGAGCTGAATAGAGCTGCATAGAGCTGCATAGAGCTGAATAGAGCTGCATAGAGCTGCATAGAGCTGCATAGAGATGCATAGAGCTGCATAGAGCTGAATAGAGCTGCATAGAGCTGCATAGAGCTGCATAGAGCTGAATAGAGCTGCATAGAGCTGCATAGAGCTGAATAGAGCTGAATAGAGCTGAATAGAGCTGCATAGAGCTGAATAGAGCTGAATAGAGCTGCATAGAGCTGAATAGAGCTGCATAAAGCTGCATAGAGATGCATAGAGCTGCATAGAGCTGCATAGAGCTGAATAGAGATTGGAACTGAATCGAATCACAGGTATTGTGTGGAATGAGGTCGTGTGGGAGACGACACGCGAATGAAAGCATCGACACCTCGACCTCTGCTGACCTCTGACCTGAGACAGACAGCTATTCACGTGTGTGAGTGTGTGTGAGAGTGTGTGTGAGAGTGTGAGAGTGAGTGAGAGTGTGTGAGAGTGTGTGAGAGAGTGAGTGAGTGTGTGAGAGAGTGTGTGTGAGTGTTTGAGAGAGTGTGTGTGAATGTGTGAGAGAGTGTGTGTGAGTGTGTGTGAGAGTGAGTGAGAGTGTGTGAGAGTGTGTGAGAGAGTGAGTGAGTGTGTGTGAGTGTGTGAAAGAGTGAGTGAGTGTGTGAGAGTGTGTGAGAGAGTGAGTGAGTGTGTGTGAGTGTGTGAAAGAGTGAGTGAGTGTGTGAGAGAGTGTGTGTGTGTGTGTGTGTGTGTGAGAGAGTGTGTAAGAGTGTGTGAGAGAGTGAGTGAGAGTGTGTGTTAGTGTGAGTATGTGTTAGTGTGTGTGAGAGTGTGTGTGAGAGTGTGCGAGAGTGAGAGTGTGTGAGAGTGTGTGTGACAGTGTGTGAGAGAGTGAGTGAGTGTTTGTTAGTGTGTGAGAGTGTGAGTGACAGTGTGTGAGAGTGTGAGTGTGCGTTAGTGTGTGAGAGTGTGTGTGACAGTGTGTGAGAGAGTGAGTGAGTGTTTGTTAGTGTGTGAGAGTGTGTGTGACAGTGTGTGAGAGAGTGAGTGAGTGTTTGTTAGTGTGTGAGAGTGTGTGTGACAGTGTGTGAGAGAGTGAGTGAGTGTTTGTTAGTGTGTGAGAGTGTGAGTGACAGTGTGTGAGAGTGTGAGTGTGCGTTAGTGTGTGAGAGTGTGTGTGACAGTGTGTGAGAGAGTGAGTGAGTGTTTGTTAGTGTGTGAGAGTGTGAGTGACAGTGTGTGTGAGAGTGTGTGACAGTGTGTGAGAGAGTGAGTGTGCGTTAGTGTGTGAGAGTGTGAGTGACAGTGTGTGAGAGTGTGAGTGTGCGTTAGTGTGTGAGAGTGTGTGTGACAGTGTGTGAGAGAGTGAGTGAGTGTTTGTTAGTGTGTGAGAGTGTGAGTGACAGTGTGTGATAGAGTGAGTGAGTGAGTGAGAGTGAGTGAGTGTTTGTTAGTGTGTGTGAGAGTGTGTGAGAGAGTGAGTGAGTGTTTGTTAGTGTGTGTGAGAGTGTGTGAGGAAACAGCGGGTCAAGGATGAGCTTTAAGAGCTGCTGCTCTTCATCACTGATGATGTTTCATCACATGCTCCGCTCAAGGAAACTATTTATTGTTGATTAATGCATAACGCAATAAAAGGAAATAAAGATTGAGGACAAACACAACCGGGAGAATCTTCACCGGACACACACTCATCTCTCTCTGGCTCTTTATTCAGACACTGTCTCAGAGGAACAGACGCATGGGAACTTAACACAATTAAAAGCATTTCAGATTTGTTCCCCTCAATTAATAACGAAATATGATGAATGAAGCGAGTCAACACTAGCCTGCCTCTCTTTGTGTTTTTGCGCTTGTGCTTTCAACTCGTATTTCACACACTTTGCTCAAGGAAGCTTTGTGTTTGAACTGTGAAATCTCTCATTAACAGCTGTGTTCAATTAGAAGATTATGAGATCAAATGATTTTCACCCAGTCAAATTACACACGCAATCTGAAAAATACATTCTTCATAAACATGCACCACACACATAATTAAAGTGTGTGTGTGTGTGTGTGTGTGTGTATGAGTGAGTGTTTCTGAAAGTGTGTGTTAGAAAGTGTTAAAAAATGATAGAAGTGTAAGTTTACAGTAAAGCAAATGCACTGAACTAAAAAAAAATATTTTATACAATGTATTTTGCAAAATAATTTGGGTGTCTAAAATTGCTAGTCAAAGTCATCAGTCATGCATCTAAACAAGCTTCAAATCTGAAGTTAATATCACAAAAGTTGAGCCGCCTGAAGGTTTTAAATGCCATTTTCATAGTAATGTCCAGCTCCGAGTGTTTGAGCTCTTGAATGATGCCTGATGTATGATGATTACTAACACATGTGACAGAGGGAACAGGCAATAAAACAGTCTTTAAAAGGCAGTAGCGTGAATCTATTGCAGATATATGTCCTCATCAGAAGCTGTTGAAGAGGTGCATGTCATACGCTGAAGGTCTGCAGGAGCAGTGTGTGTGTGTGTGTGTGTGTGTGTGTGTGAAACACTCTCCTCCTCCTGACCTCTTGACCTCTGATCGCGTCCTGACATGAAGACCTACGGCCCGATCTCAAACTTTAATCCTCTTCATCTTCTGTGGGTTATGGCTAATATTTCTCTGTCTCTCTGTGTGTGTGTGTGTGTGTGTGTGTGTGCGTCCCTCAGGGCCACAGCGACGCACCGAGGACAGATCATCTTCAAGGACGCTCTGGCGCAGCAGCTTTGTGAGCAGGGAGGTGAGGATCACACACACACACACACACACACACACACACACACACACACACACACACACACACACACACACACACACACACACAGCAGTCGGGAGGTAAGTGCAGAACACACTGGGATTCGGAGACAGGAACCATAACTTACTAAAGCCTCTCCATCCAATCAGTGGATCCAGACACTCTCGCCGTCGTGAAAACACACAATAGAAGAGCATGGAAGTGTTTCTGCGCTCACACATTAAGATTTTGAAGAAATCCATTTCAAGTTTCAAGGGCTTAAAGCTTTGAGTTGTTAAAGGAATTATAAATATCCCAGCAGGACTGAAGAACGGGGCGAATCTCCGTCAGCGATGAGACATGAGCAGATTATCACTCGAACTCGAGTTGAGACGAGATCTGAGACAGAGTCTGTGTGTGTCTGTGTGTGTGTGTGTGTGTGTGTGTGTGTGTCTGTGTGTGTGTGTGTGTGTGTCTGTGTGTGTGTATGTGTGAGAGAGAGAGTGTGTTTGAGACATGAGCAGATTATCACTCGAACTCGACTCGAGACGAGATCTGAGACAGAGCTGGAGGTTTAGAGGAGCGTGAGGAGTGTGTGTGTGTGTGTGTGTGAAAGTGTGAAAGTGTGTGACCGAGAGCTTGAGGTTTAGGGAGGAGAGCGAGGACGGTGTGTGTGTGTGTGTGTGAGAGAGAGTGTGTGAGTGTTTGTGAGAGAGAGTGAGTGAGTGTTTGTGAGAGAGAGTGAGTGTGTCAGAGTGAGAGTTTGTGTGTGTGTGTGTGTGTGTGTGTGAGAGAGTGTGAGTGTTTGTAAGAGAGAGAGAGTGTGTCAGAGTGAGAGTGTGTGTGTGTGAGAGAGAGAGTGTGAGTGTTTGTAAGAGAGAGTGAGTGTGTCAGAGTGAGAGTGTGTGTGTGTGTGTGTGTGTGTGTGTGAGAGAGAGTGTGAGTGTTTGTAAGAGAGAGAGAGTGTGTCAGAGTAAGAGTGTGTGAGTGTGTGTGAGTGTGTGTGTGTGTGTGTGTGTGTGTGTGTGTGTGTGTGTGTGTGTGTGTGTGTGTGTGTGTGTGTGTGTGTGTGTGTGTGTGTGTGTGAGAGAGAGTGTGAGAGTGTTTGTAAGAGAGAGAGAGAGTGTATGAGACCCAGAGCTGGAGGTTTAGGGAGGAGAGCGAGGATTGTGTGTGTGTGTGTGTGTGTGTGTGTGTGTGTGTGTGTGTGTGTGTGTGTGAGAGAGAGAGAGAGAGAGAGAGAGAGAGAGAGAGAGAGAGAGAGAGAGAGAGAGAGAGAGAGAGAGAGAGAGAGAGAGAGAGAGAGAGAGTGTATGAGACCAAGAGCTGGAGGTTTTAGGGAGGAGCGCGAGGATTGTGTGTGTGTGTGTGTGTGTGAGAGAGAGAGAGAGAGAGAGAGAGAGAGAGAGAGAGAGAGAGAGAGAGAGAGAGAGAGAGAGAGAGAGAGAGAGAGAGAGAGAGAGAGAGAGAGAGAGAGAGAGTGTATGAGACCAAGAGCTGGAGGTTTTAGGGAGGAGAGCGAGGATTGTGTGTGTGTGTGTGTGAGAGAGAGAGAGAGAGAGCTGGAGATGACACTAGTATATCAGAGAGTGATATCTGTGACAGGTCAGGATGAGGGAAGGGGACTCTGAACTCTGCAATTTCCAGCCGCTCCATAAATTAGGTCTTTATGGGACACTGGACTCGCATCCCTGAGGATTGATCATCGGAGAGCGAGTATAACTCACGGTGGGCGATCAGGAGAGGAGGCCGATCAGAACATGAGCAGATATATACGACAGGCCTCTGGATGGAGATGAAATAATGTCCTGCACTTCATAATATCCATCGCCAACTTTCCTCGGAGTGTCCGGCTTTGCATTAGAGAAGTTGGGAATGAACTGTTAAACTGTCAGTGTAAGCCGTCGCATTAGCACAGATCTACAGCCACAGCGCCGGAGGTAATTAAAGTTCTTAAGGAAACCAGCGAGGATTAAACTAAGCCTGAAACGAGTGCGACTGTCTGCTGTGTGTGTGTGTGTGTGTGTGTGTGTGTGTGTGTGTGTGTGTGTGTGTGTGTGTGACTGTCTGCTGTTTGAACGAGAGACTGATAGAGATCGACAGATCAACGACAGAGAAACAGATCAAAACTGTGTGTGTGTGTGTGTGTGTGTGTGTGTGTGCTCTTAGAGACACAGATTGAGTTGCAGGTAACAGCAAAGTTTATTTTGCTCTCAATGAGCACCGGACAAATAACAGGAACACAAAAAGAAAAGAGGAAGTCCAAATAAATGTCCACTGGGCCAGGAGAGCACTTCTCAAACAGGACCGCAGTGTCCGAGTCACACTGAGTTCTCTAATGAAAAGTTGGTTACATACGATTGCATAGCACTACATACAACAATGCTCTGACAAAAGACTGAACACGAGAGGATCTAAAATAGGGGAGATTAATGAAGGATTAACTAGCAACAGGTGTGACGTGAACACAGCTGATGATTAAGGATAACGAGTGGGAGGGGAACCGCCACAATGACAGCGGAGCGCATGGCGAGCTCTCAAAACAAAGCACATGTGCTTAAAAGACAACAAGTTACACAGACACAGCAGACCAGACCGAAGTCGTGGCAGTACCTGGGTGCCAGCTTACGAGAAGGCGCCCGGAAAGGCAGGTCCTTGGTGGATGGCCACACCTTCTGACCGCACACATACTGGGGAGCGGGAGTCCGGTGTGGGTCTCCTCCAGGTGCGACGACACCGACGGACAAAGGCCAAAGCAGACGTGCCCGCGGCCTCGGGTTCCTGTGCAGGGAAAAGAGGCGGTTGGTAACCCTCAGAACATTGAAAAGGAGACGCCCGTAGACGCTCCCGGCAGGGATTTGTGGGAATATTTCACCCACGATAGCTACTGGTGTGACCACGGCGAGAGGGAATGGGCAAAGGCTGCAACAGACCAACAGGAGAATGGTTAGACGTCTTATTTTGAGTGCATACCGAGAAAGCCAACACAAACTGCCTGACATCTTGGGCCATGGATGGCCACCTCGGACTCAAGTACCTGTGAGAAGTTTGATGGTGCAGTCATATGGCCGATGAGGAGGCAAGGATGTGGCCCGGGATTTACTGAAGACCTGACAAAGATCGCAGTACTCCACCGGGACTCCGGCGAGATCGGCCTCCTCAACCTAAAAAACAGAAGACACAGAGCCAGGAGACTAGGCAGAACCCAAACATGATGCAAGACAAGACTGACTCCAAAAGAACACAGAGTTGTCTCACCAATCCACGTGAGGATTGTGCTGCACCAACAACGGGTGCCCTAGGACAACTGGGGCACTCTGGGAATCTAGGAGGTACAGCTCAATCACCTCACAGTGATTGCCAGAAACAATAAGACTTGCGGACGGAGTGGAATGGGTAATGGAGGTAATAAGGAGACCATTAAGGGAGCGGACAGAGATAGGAGAGGGGAGAGGAATGGCAGGAATGCCCCACAGCACAGCAACGGAGACATCCAGGAAGTTGCCCGAGTCAATCAGGGCTGAACAGGAGTGAACAGTGTCTTTATAATTAACAGAGACATTTAGCAGGGTACGTGAGATGGTGGAGTCGAGACAAGGAGTAACCCCCACCAAGATACCCCGGATTACTGATGGGCTCCGGCTTTTAAAGGACACCGGATAGCCCGATGGCCTGGCTTCCTGCAATAAAGCCAAAGACCCCGAGTCAAACGATCCTGCTTCTCCTTAGCAATGAGACGAAGGCGCCCCACTTGCATGGGCCCGCACCAGCTGGGAGGCCGCCTCATCGCCTCGAGTAGAGCAGTCAAAAAGCGTAATTATCTCTGCTCTGAAGTCTTCGAATGTGGCACAGAATGGGGCACGAGCATCCCACACAGCCTTTGCCCAGTCGCGGGCCCTTCCTTTCAGGAGTGTGAAAGGCCACCTGGGACATAACAGGTGAGCGAAGACCAGAGAGCACTGGGACAGGAAAGCACGGCAGGAGTTGGGATCCCCGTTGTAGGGCGGCGGAGTGTTGGCATGGGGGTTCAGGCTCAGCATGAGGTAGAGAACGGCCGTACACAGCAGCTGACCTGCTGGCCAAGGCTTCCCGCTGCAGTTCCTGGATCTGGAGACTGGGATCTGCAACTTGGGCGGTCAGGCACTCAACCTCCCGTGAAGTGGCAGTTAACTGGCTGCAATGCTGTCCCAGAAGAATGCCTTGTTGACTCACTGCGGTCCTCTGACTTGCTCTGCACCTGCTGAATCCCTTTTATGGTCAGACCGTTCTGTCAGGGAGAGACACAGATTCAGTTGCAAGTAACAGAAAAGTTTATTTTGCTCTCACTGAGCACCGAAGTCCAAATAAATGTCCACTCGGCCAGGAGAGCACTTCTCAGCAGTGACTCGGTGTCCAAGTCACACTGAGTTCCCTAATGAAAGCGATGAGCGCACAGAGAGGGGCTGGGGCGGTGCATCCGAGTCTCAACAGAACAGAGAACGCCTGGGCCGGCAGTCGAGGAAACCAGGCCTGGCAGGACGGGAGGGAGAGAGTGGAAGCACGACAAAAATAAAAATGCAAACAAAAAACAAAACAGCACTTGGAGTCTGAAATGGCAAGCCAAGGCAAAACCAATCCTGGGAGCTTTCAGCGAAGCGCGTATCGAGGCTTGTATCGCTTTAGACCAATGACGTCGTTGATGGCGTCTGAAGCCTCGCTTCGGCCTGACTGGTTCAGGAGGCGGCTCAAATCTTGGCTCGACATTTTGACAGATATATAAACCCATGGTTGAAACCCAGCCACCTTCCAGTTTTAAATAATAATATTACCACTTCATCATATTATGACCTAAGAATTGATTTATACACATTTGATAGCACCATTAATTTCAAGCCAAACACGTTTATTACACAGTTATGTTATTCAACCATTTTATACCAGCAGAAAATACACATTATATTCATATAAATAGATTAGTCTATGTGGAAATTGATTTTTTTTTCTTCACCATCATTTCTAAGCCTTAA